TCCTCAGCTGCAACACAGTGTGTAAACATTTCAGGATGGTACAGAATCCAATTATTATTTTCGTAACTTCCAACAAAAATCACCGGATCTTACTGACCCCCTTCCCCCCCCCCCATCGTTATTCGCGAACCCTCGAAAAACTAGTGAGGCCTTCTGTAGTTTGATTTATGTCGATTAAAGAGGCCATTTGCTTATTTTCCGCCAAAAATCGGAATTACCGTTTGGCCCGTGTCGGCCGAAGTGGCCATCGACTAATCTTCTGCCAAAAATCGAAAAAGCCGAGAAAAAGCGTCAAGAGCAATAGACTATGCCACACACACACACACACGCACACACACGCACAGACACACGCACACACATCCAGTGAAAAAGTTCGTAGGAAAATACAATATAACACTTAAAAGCCTATCTAGTCTGCTAGATGAAAAACAATATCGAATCAAGTTTAGAGGTCGGTTACCGCAGTTAAGAATCCCCCACACTTCAAACAACAAGAAACAACAGAAACAACTAAATATATCAAAAATAAAAGTTCCAAAAATATTTCAGAAAAACGCGGACATGTGGCAGGAAATATCACTTGAACTTACCGATGTTCGAATGTTTCTCAAATAGCCTTGTTAGCAACTGATACAATATATGATCGTTGATGATTGAGCCACAACCAACTTTCGTCCCATGTATCCCCTGAATTTAAAAACCGAAATATTCTTTAAAAAAAAATGCAAACATTTCAGCAACTTCTAAATCAGCCATTAAAAAAAACGAATCTTTTGCAGTTAGAAGGCCGTTTAAGTCAAAAACTAACAAATCATGCATATATCCTCCACACACTCAGAGTTCTAGATTAATCACAAAGTTGAAATATTTATATTTTAGTATATAAATATCTCAATTCTGGCTACTGGGTAAATATTACATTACCGTCTCGCAACAAATACAGTTAGGGGTAACTTAATGGGGAGGAAATAGGCAAACCAAAAATCGTTAGGAAAAAAATGCACTGCATTCAGAATCATCATATTTCAAAGTTATTATTGAACCGAGAGATGAAATTTTTGCACAGGATTACACTGCACTGCTTCAGATCAAGTGTTTTAGATATTTAAAGATGCGAACAATGAGAATATCCCCGGCTAGGGGATTGGAAGAAGGCGGGAGCCTGAAGTCTTCTATGCGTTAACATACGCAGTTTATTTGGCATTGTCGGCCTGCCGTTGAGAGGAACGCAATCGAATTTTGACAGTTATGGGAAAACAGGAACTACCAATTTAGATCTCCCAGAAAAGCGAGCCTGTATTTACAATGAGCTGTTATTTTGTTTGTGTCTCATCCCTGAGCTTTAAATACAGACGGCAGAATCGGTGCGAAATGGGGTGGAAATCATCAGTACAGTGCTCCATTCCGCCATGTCAAAACGAATATGTGGATTTTGCTAAGGAAGATGAAGAAAGAAAGGAAGGAAGCAGAGGTGACTGTACAGAAAATAAATGTTGCAGCAGTAGAAACAAAAGTAAAACAAACATGCAGCAGATACTTTCTGTTAACTTTAACAAACCTCTTGAAAAGTCTTCAGAAGCTCCTCACCAAAACCCGCATCATCTTCCTCACGATCACCGAGAAACGGAATATGCGATAGTGAACGTTCATCTTCACACTGAAACGTAACTTAAGAAGAAATCGCACAAATAAAATTTCAGAAAAGTGTTCACGAATATAAAAAAAAGGAAAAAAAAAAGAAAAATCAGAAAATTTAAAAAAAAAAAGGAAAACGAACCAAAACATTGCATTCTGTGAGGGTCCAGTACTGCATTCGTGGTGT